TGTGTAAAAGGTGGTGTCGGCCCATCATGGAGTACAGGCAATAAAGCAGACACTTGGTGAACTTGTGAGAACCGGTGGCATTGGGGATGACCGAACGAGTGAGGATGAGGTTGATGATGTGCCACTCTGGTCGGAGTGTGGTGACATTTGTTTGGCAGGTGTTTAACGATGTTTGATGGTACTCTAGGCGGCATATCCGTTGGTAGAAGATGTCGATGATGAAGTCTTAGGGGTTGGCGACCTCGTTCGTGTGCGTGGACTAATTCGGGCCAAATTGTACATGTTTTGTCCCTGTTTTACTTAGGTGTTTGTGCCAAATCCACTCTTAAAAGGTTGGTTTTACGCTAGGTTCCTCGTGTTTTAGTGTGTTTCAGGATTTAACAGGTGAAACCAGCCTCGGAGTCGAAAGTTGGGCGAAAAGGATTGAAAACTGGGAGAAGAGGTGAAAAAGGGCTTGTTCACGACTATCCAAGGAAGTTCATGGTCTTGCATGACCGTGAAGAAGAGCCCTTTATCGTGAATCGCGAGGCGTCCAAAGCCAAAACAGAGGTTACTGACGCAAGGTGAGTTCACGGTCGCTAAGACCGTGAACGAAGGTTGTTGACCATGAACGAAGGATGTTGACCGTGAACAGAAGAGATCGAAGCGGTGTATTTTGTTGCACGCTTGCAGTTCACGAAAGCGATTCGTGGTTCACGGCCGTGAACTCAGTCCGTGAACTGAGCTCATCTCTGGTTTAAATGATGAGTTGAAAGGAGAAGAGAGGGCAGAGCCCACTTTGTATGAAAATCCTTCTTCAGATTTCTAGAGAGAGAAACACAAACAAACGAGGAAGAAGGCTAGGGTTTTAATTCAAGGTGGATTTTGGGAAGATTTCCTCCAAGGAAAGCTCAACACAAGGGCCAAGGAGATTGGGAGCATCCTTCAAGATGGTTTCCTCTTCTTTTCTCTGTCTTTTCCCCATTTCTAGCATGGAGTAGATCTCCTTTTCACTTGGGTGCTGTGAAACCCTAACTCTACCATGTAGTTTCTTTTATGTGAATTGAATGATTGTCATTGGGTATTGTTTAATTCAATGATTTAGGTATTTTTCATAATTGATTGTGCATGCTTGTGCTTAGCAACCTAAGGGTTGTGCATGTTTTATGCTTAGCATCCTTAGGTTTGTGCCTTTTGGTGCTTAGCAACCTAAGGATTGTGCATAATTGTGCTTCGCACCCTTAGGTCTGTGCATGTTGGTGCTAGCAATATAATTAACCACCTTAACCTAGCTTAGAGAGGGAAATCCCCCTTCCAAGGGAGACTCAATCGATTGGTTTTCCTTCAACTTTTAAGCCACCTAACTAAGTTAATTTAGGGAAACCCTTAGTGGTGAATTAAGTAAACAGGTTAATCGTGATTAAGCCGTCCGACCTTTGAGTTGAGTGAGGGAGTAAGTCAATTACCAATTGCCTAAACCGAGAGGGTCGAGTGACACGGCCTTTAATGTTCACCTCAGTTTAGCAATTGAGATTGTGGTCCCCGACCATGTATGCATCCCTCTGCGGTTCGTGATTACCTTGCCCAAAACAATCGTTCCAATTCACATATCATGGTAGTAGTTAGGGGGAAGTGACACCCGACTGATCCTTCCACAAAAGAGTTTTCGAACCCATTTACCTTAGCTTTATTTTGTTATAATTAGCTAGATAATGATTTCAAAAATTGAAGTAGGGGTAGACAGACCGGCCTGGGATGATATCTAACATTGTCGGGGAACAACGGTCTATTATCTTGAAAAAGTTGTTGGTTGTTAATCTAGTTTTTAATTTCCAATTTTGCAAGTGTGTGCTTTGCTTCTGCTAGACTTGGTGTGTATTCCGATTGTGTGTAGGTGGTGCATGACCCGGAGTAACCCGGCACCTTTGCTACCACTTGATGAGGACATAAACCGAACTCTCTGGCTCCTAGCACGGGAGAGAGAGCTAGCGGAGGCAAGGAGAAGAAGTGAAAGAGGGGGACAATGTTTGGGTCCCGGTGTTAGTGGAGAAGTAGTTGAAGAAGTGGAAGTTGAACCCGTCGTCGTAGTGGAAATGGCGGCGAACCAAAGGCAAGATGGAGCTCAAGCCCGCCAGTTGAACGATGCGGCGGAGGATGAGGATGCCCCGAGGGCAATGGGGTAAAAAAATTTCGAGATCAATTTGGCTCTAGTGACTATGATACAAAGTAATGCTCTATTCCACGGCCTTGAGAGCGAGTCACCAAGAGAGCACGTATATTTTCCCATATTCACTCGCGGGGAGCTTGAAGACGGCGGGCTTAGGTGGCTGAACTAAGGATTTTCCCGTATTCACTCTCAGGAAAGCACTTAGTTGGCTGAACAACCGCCCACCTCAGTCTATCACCTCATGGGAGGACCTCCTCAACAAGTTTATGGCTCGTTATTGCCCGCCTTCGAAGAAGGCGCGGTGGAGAAAGAAGATTACACATTTCGAGCAAGAAGAGGACGAGACCTTGAGGGATGCTTGCGAGAGGTACTCCGATTACTTTCTTCAGTGCCCTCACCAACGGTGAAGAAAGTGATTAAACTTTGTTGCATATTTTCGCTCTTTATCCATGAATTAAAATTTGACTAGTTTGCAGAATCAGTTCTGCTTGTATATTTTCCAATACACCCTAACCCGGCCGGGTACTACTTTTACTAAAATGCCCTTGAGAAATAAAATACTCAAATCTTAAATTGCAATTGGGAAAAATTTTCATAAATAAAAATACTGAAAAACACACACTTGTAGTTCAAGGCAAAGCCCTAACACGTGGGAAAATTAAACTCGAACTTTAAAATCTCAATCTGATCTCAAAATAATCTCCAGTCTGTACTCATAATCATAAACGTCATTAACTAATAAACTCTGAAGCTGTTGCTACCGAAAACCTTGACTAAGCATCCTCCGTGACGCTTATACTGCTCTCCTCTAGCTGGCTGCCCTCGAACCCGCTGCTCACTAACTGCTCCTCTAGCTCCTCAAACTGGTGAGTGAGATGGGTTCAGTCTACGCCCTTACGTTTAAATACTATTAATACTTGATCACTTTACTTAACTGAGTGGGAGTTGTTTTATACTTCCACTACTAAAAGCTTAACTCTTAAAACTGTATGGGAGTTACTGTTACTCCACTCTTAAACCTTAAAGCTTGACTTAAATACTTGAATGACACGGGGATCCCTCACTAGCTAGTCCGGTTGCCAACTCATACGTATGAGAATCCATTCAGGCTTTCCTTAAACTTAAACTTAGTTAGGGAAGTCGTAACGATTCATCCCCCTAACGTCTTAAACTTATCGTGGTGGCTCTTCACCACGATTCTCAAGGGCATAACTGCTGCCCATCTTAAAATCTCAAGAGCATAACTGCTGCTCTATCTCAAACTGTCTCAAAAGCAACGGACTGGCGCTAGTGACTAAAAACACTTAAAACGACTTCACCTTCTTGAAGGTGAGTTACTTCTTAAAATGGACTTGCTTCTTAACTTCAACAATAACTTATAAACTCAAAGCTTAAATTTAAATAAAACTCATGCAAAATCACATCAAGCATGGCTCAAACAAAAATCACATATCATCAACCATAAGCACAATCAAACAACGACATTCACTTCATCAAATACTCAAAACTTGTAACTCTTGAAAGAACACGTAAGGCGTAGAATTTACCCCCTTTATACTCACCTGGTTAAGCGAACTCGATCGACCAACATGACCCCTCTTTACTGCAAGCAAACCCACGTCACCATCCGCGATTCCACGCTCAAACTCCTCGCGCCTTACCTCCTTTTGTTTTTCCTATTTAAAAATATAGACGAAAACTTAATTTACATTTCTCCCAGCGTAGCTAGTCAAACGACCCCCAACTTGGTTGATTCCAATCTCAAATTCCTCCATTTAACCCCTCCTAGGCTTTCCTTTAAAATCCTAGAAAATTACCTTTTTGCCCCAAAATGGCAATTTACCAAATGGTACTCGAAATTCCTAGGTCTTATCAATTTGGCCCCCCAATTTCCAGAATTGCACAATCCAGTCCTCCAGGCCAATTTCCACTTTATGATTTTGACATTCTGGTCCAACTGGCATATTTCTAATTCAATACCCAAACATTTACTAATTGTGAACTCATCCCCATCCTGGTCAATTACTTTACGGCGCCTAAACTTCCAAAAATTTATCAAATCTCCCCAATTCCGAAAAGACATATACGCCACTAACTATTCATCAAATTTTCAACTTGATGCCATTGAACTCCAATAACGGGGGAGAACAACTCACCTGTATACCGCCGCTGTCGTCGACGTCGCGGTTCCGGCCACCGTCGCCGTCGTCCTTCTCTCCACCTCCGAACCCACAACAAACGCATTCCTCCGGCTCCTCTTCTTCTTCCTCGAGCAACGCCTCGCCTGCCACCGTCGGTGAGTTAAGCTTTTCACCGCCGCCAAGCCCGTCGCCACCTCTCCGGCCGCAATTCGGAGGGAAATGACGGATTGCTGAGATCCCTCGTCGTTTGGGTGGGTAAGTGTTTGGTCGCGACGACGTTTCCATGCTGTCCTTCACCCTGCCACCGTCGGAGTCGACAGTAGCGCTTCTCGCCGTCGTCAAGCTTCCGGCCTTCTTCTTGCGTCCCCGAGCCACTACCCTTGTTCGGATCCACCTCGCTCCCCGTCCTGTTGGTGCCGGCTCCATCAAGCCCTTCGATGTATAGTTGCTCGCCGCTCTACTCTTCTTCTCTAATTTCCTATTCCCCTGCCCTCTCGTCGTTGTAACCCAGTCACAATCAACTCACGACCCTCAATTAACCGCACGCGAATACCATCCCAACCTCGTTCCCCTAGATCGAATTAACCTCCTCAATTAAATCCCCTCAGTTTCGTCGGTTACGCCCTGATTTTCCGGCCGTTTCCACGTCTTCCTGTTCCCCTGTTTCTTCGCCGCCGTTCAATTTTCTGTTTTGTTTTTTTTTTTTATTATCATTATTCACCAGCGGAGACGGCCCCTCCTTTCCCCTCGCAAGGCTCCGCCTCCTTCAGTTGTCGGGCCTCAAGCCCGCTTCCCCTTCCCTTCTTTCTTTCTCCACCTCGGGCCACCAGCCCATCTCCTCTTCCTTTCTTTAAATCACACACGGGCTTAAGCCCTTCTTCCTCTTCTTCCACTGGGCCGGCAGGCCAGCCCACACTTCCTTTTTCTTCTCCTTGGCCGCCCATGAGAATCAAAACGGGCCGACTCAATTGCCACTCCATGACCGCCCAAAAAAAACTAAAATCAGATTAGCCCGAACACTAAATCGAGTCCTGATTCGAAAATCCAATTTATACTCGTAACCTCTTCATTTTATATCAAATTTTAACGCCGTTCGCACCGGTAGTTCATGTTTTTAAATCCTCATCCATAATATGGCGGAACTTGATGACTTTGCTCAAGGGCAAAATAGTCATTTTGACTTTTGGCAAGGTCGGGGTGTAACATTCATCAGTGCCCTCACCAACGGTGAAGAAAGTGATTAAACTTTGTTGCATATTTTCGCTCTTTATCCATGACATAAAATTTTACCAGTTTGCAGAATCAGTTCTGCTTGTATATTTTCCAATATGCTTATGCATTTTTTGGTTCCGCTTGTGCATTTTAAGTTATTACAACTAAAAAAATCAGCAATATCCATGAAACAAATTTCGACAATAAGCTTAAAAGAAGTACATAAGTCTCATTATCATACATAAACAACTAGAACATAGTAGACATGCAATATGTTCTCTATCATCTAAACTCGTCGAATAATCGACAAACTCGTCAAATTATATCACCATATGTGCCAAACGGTTCAATGTGCTCATCAAGAGCATCAAGCAAGAGACCAGTACTGTTAGTAATCTGGTACACAAGTTGCATAACCCAAAGATGTTATGTTAGTATTTGGGTTCAAATAGAAGAATAAAAACTTTAACACAAGTAAAAAGAACTTAAAACTAATCATATGTCTCAACTACGACGATGCCTAATGAGTACCATCCGCAGTGATTAGGACAATGCAAGGTTGGGTACGCAAATTGTACTATGGACCATACTCTAGGTGAACTTCTCCATTATCATCAAAAGGTATCAAGTAGGCATTGAAATTGATCAACCGACCCCGGGCGTACCAATGTTGATCAAGGTCATACCCAAAAGTTACTTTAAAAGTACCAAAAGCATGTATGCTAGCCTCAAATGTTATAAGAGGACGATCAGGGATCACATGTATGTAGCCAAGCTTATGAAGAGTACTGAGGTATCATAGTAGTACTGAGCCATGTCATTAAAAAGTATCACACCCCGATACAATGATCGAGGGACTCACTAATCAAGGTCGACACCCAAAGGAATCCAATCCACGTGGGTCGTTATAAATCCGTCTGATAATCTACGATAGAGATCCAACCTCCATGGTGCCTAACTAAGTCTACCCTCTACAAACGAGACCCTCCCACCTCCTTTCAAACACATCTTTGTCCATCATCATCTATATCTGTTGACACAAAATTGTGGAAAATATTCATAGATCAAAGACTGTCACAGGGTCAAACACCTAGAAAATCTCCTAGTATCGGCTATGCTTGCTAACCCAAGCTTCCTATACATCCACGCAAGCGCACCAACATCCAGGTATACTCACAAACCCTCCTAACATACCACAAATAAATTTATAACCATGCAAAGATTTGATCACAACTCTTGTTCACAAAAGTATGTACCTCAACAAACACAATAAGTAACATTGCCCGTCAACATCTTCATCTCCAAAGTACGTGCATGTATCATGGCATCATCTACCAACAACCCACCACCTATATACTAGGGGATCCCATGTTGCATTGTATCAATATAACCCTTTAAATCCTATATCAATCCAAGAAGATCACAAATGATATAAGCTGAGACTCCTTCTCCACGACTTAAACAATCAGAAACATTACAAAGAATAATTAGTAACACAACAAACACAAAGACGGGAAACAAATCGGACCTATACCATAGTTGGGAATATGGTCAAGTATACAAAGTGATTCCAAAACTAGGGTGATTTACTAGTTGATAATGTTAGGCTCTCCTTGCTGGCTCGATTCCACGAATGAACAAGAAAGAAAAACAAGAGTTCTATGTTGAACACTCAAAAACTAAGGTTTTGATTGATAATCACTAGTCCAACGCGAATCCTCCTCTATTGTAGAGGTTACAAAACAATGTTTCTACCTTAATGAACTAAAAATCCGACTCCTACTAGCTATAAAATCCAAACACCAAAAGGAAATGGAAAACCTTCAAGAATCTGCCCAAAAGGTTCCATTCATACCTTGTGCTCACACCAATATGACTTAACTATTAAGTAAGCTCCTTCCTTCCTTCCTTCTCTTGAGTTGGGATCTTCTTCTTCGATGTGGATGATGGTTATCTCTTAGCCCACAAAAAATTCAGGCTCTAATGACGCCAAACTGTTAGCCAAATAAGCTTGTAGTTGTGGCTTGAATGCTTTGGTTTGACTTTGAGTGATTGAACCTTCACTTTGAGAAGCCTCCTCACGCACCAATATTGGGGTTGTAATAGCTTTGGTGTTGATGCCCTTATCATTCCGTTCCACTTGAAAATGATATATCCTCAAATCTGAATCGTCTTCAAGAAAAAGAGCCAAACCAAAAACGTTGAAGGTAACACTAACACCATACTCGCCTGGCAGATCAAGCTTGTAAGCATTGTCGTTGATGGGTGCTAGGAATTGAAATGGACCATCTTCACGAGACAACAACTTAGAACGTCTTTGTAGGGGGGAAATATTAATTCCTCCTATGCACCCACACCCAAACTCCTAGCTCAAACCTATGAGGACATCGATGCTTGCTCACATTCCTCAAAATATGCTCTGTTTGCCTCTCGATGTACAGTCGCGCCTTCTCATGCAAGTTTCAAGCAAACTCTACCTTCTTTACACTATCCAAGTTAAAATGCTAATTCAAAGGTAAGGGAGACAAATCCAATCGGGCTAAAGGATTAAATCCATACACAATCTCGAATGGTGAAAACTTAGTAGTAGAATCAACAACCCTATTATATGAAAACTCTACATGAGGAAAGCATTCTTCCCACATTTAGATGTTACTTCGAATGACAGCTAAGCATTTGAGACAAAGTCCTATTGACCACTTCAATTTGCCCATCCGTTTGGGGGTCGCATGTAGTAGAAAACAACAACTTTGTTCCTAGCTTACTACACAAAGTTTTACTGAAGAAACTAAAAGACTTGGCATCACGATTAGACACAATGGTACGAGGCATTCCATGCAACCTAAACATTTCTCTAAAGAATAGTTCGGCTACATTAGATGCATCATCAGTTTAATGCCATGGTATAAAGTGTGCCATCTTTGAAAAACTATCAACCACAACAAACAAAGAATCCCTAGCACGTTTACTCCTAGGCAACCCAAGCACAAAATCCATAGAGATATCCATCCAAGGAGCAATATGAATAGGGAGAGGAATATATAACCCGGTTGGTTGCACTTTCGAGTTGGCTTGGCAGCACTTAATAAACCTTGCACACACCTTCTCCACATTACTTCTCATGCGTGGCATATAAAAATTTTCTTGTATGCAATCCAAAGTCTTGAACACCCCAAAATGATCCATAAGACCTCCACCATGAGCTTCTCTAACCACTAACTCTCGAATTGAAGCATGAGGCGTGAAAAGTTGTTAGCACAACTTGATAATATTTCCCTTTCTCCATGTTTTCACATGCCTTATAATTCTCACAAAATTTGGGATCATTGACATATAATTCTTTAATGTGCTCGAATCCAATGAATCTAGCATCAAGATATGATATTAGTGCATACCTTCTAGAAAGGTCATCAACAACCACATTCTCCTTTCCAGGTTTGTATATGATCACATAGGGAAAGGACTCAATACCTCCACCCATCCAGCATGCCTCTTGTTCAGCTTATGTTGTGCCTTCAAGTACTTCAACGGTTCATGATCAGTGTGGATCACGAATTCCTCAGGCCAGAGGTAGTGCTGCCACGTCTCTAAAGCTCAAACCAAATCATAGAGCTCATTTTAATATGTGCGATAATTCAAGGCATCCCCACTCAATTTCTCGCTAAAGTACGCGATTGGCCTCTTCTCTTGCATCAAAACCGCACCAATTCCTACACCTGAAGCATCACACTCTATGTCAAAGGCTTTGAGAAGTCAGGCAACATCAAAATAGTAGCATGGGTTAGTTTATGCTTTGAAAGCTTCACCTTGAGATCCTCCCCAAAAGAATGACATATTCTTCTTGATGGTTATCGTTAAAGGCGCAAAAATGGTGTTGAAATCCTTCGCAAACCTCTATAGAGCCCCACAAGACCATGAAAAATTCTTACCATGTTGACATTGATGGGTGTAGACCACACCTTAATGGCCTCTATCTTCTCTTTTTCAACCTTGAATCTCTCAAAACTTACCACAAAACCCAAAAACACCAAACTCGAAGAGCAAAAATAACACTTCTTAAGGTTAGCGAATATTTAATCCTTTCTAAGGTAACTCAAAACCAACTTAAGATGATCAACATGCTTGTTCATAGATTTAGAATAGATCAACATATCATCAAAGTACACTACCACGATCTTTCCAATGAATGGCCTCAAAACATGGTTCATTAATCTCATGAAAGTACTAGGTACCTTAGTTAATCCAAAAGGCATAACTAATCATTCATACAAACCATGTTTCATTTTAAAGGTATTCTTCCATTCATCACCCTCTTTCATTCGAATTTGATGGTAGCCAATTTTCAAGTCTATCTTAGAAAACATACTAGCACTATGCAATTCATCAAGCATATCATCCAGTCTAGGTGTAGGATGGTGATACTTTATCGTTAAGTTGCTGATAGCTCGGCAATCAACATACATCCTTCAAGTTCCGTCGTTTTCGATCACGTGGATGACTGGTACAACACAAGGACTCATGCTCACCCGCTCATTTCCCTTTTCCATCAACTCGTCTACCTACCTTTGTAACTCCTTTGTTTTCTCAGGATTAGTACAAACGACGGGTTTGTTAGGGATGGATGCTCTAGACATGAACTAAATTTTATGTTCAATGCCTCAAAGAGTTGTCAACCCTTGTGGTTCCTTTTCAGGAAACACATCCTTGAATTCCTGCAAAAGAGAACAAATCT